TGTGTGCAGGTTTGGGACCAGCCCCTCTAATATCTTCCACGTGTAAATTATTATGTATCTCTCCCGCCTGCGCTCAAGAGAATACAGATTTAGAACTTTTAATCGGTCCCAATAATCAAGATGACTTACTGAGTGGATTCTAGCAGTAAAGGATCTCTGCACGCTCTCCAGGTCAGCAATTTCTGCGGCTCTGAATGGGGCTGTTAGTGTGCAACAATATTCCACCCTAGAGAGCACTAGCGTCTTGTAAGGTCATCACTGGTATGGCATCCCTTGTTTGGAAGGTCCTTGTTATCCAACCTGTCATTTGTCTTACAGTCGTGACGGCTACTTTATGGTGTTCTGTAAAGGTAAGGTCTTCCCACATGATTACAGAAGTACTATAGTGTGATTTTATTCCGTTTTATAGATGGTTTCCGTTTTTAAATTCATTTTTTTTCCGTAGCGCAGGAGCTGGAACTTATTTTCTTTAAAGATCATATTATTATCTGTGGCCCATTGAAAGACCCGGTTTACGTCTGATTGGAGGTTTGTCGTGTCCTCTATGTTATCTACTCGCGTGATGATCCAAGTGTCATCTGCAAATGATGATACAGTGCTATAGGTTGTATCTTTGTCTATATCTGATATTAGGATGAGACAAAGTACGGGAGCCAGCACGGTACCTTGAGGGACTGAGCTCTTCACAGTAGATGATCCGGATATGACTGTGTTGACTATTACACTCTGCCTTCTGTTAGGAAGTTGCAGATCCATCTCCCTATTTTACCAGTAATTCCTGATGCGCGCATTTTGTGCGCAATAACACCATGGTGACATTTGTCTAAACCTTTTGCAAAGTTTATGTATATAACGCAGTGTTTTGCTTGTCTTCCATGGTTATCTTGAGGTTATCTTGAGATGATTTCGGGGCTTTAGTGTCCTCGATCAGGCCTCCACCCCCCAGGAAGCAGCCCGTGACAGCTGACTAACACCCAGGTACCTATTTTACTGCTAGGTAACAGGAGCATAGGGTGAAAGAAACTCTGTCCATTGTTTCTCACCGGCGCCTGGGATCGAACCCAGGACCACAAGTCCAGCTTGCTGTCCGCTCGGCCGACCGGCTCCCTATCTGAGTATCTGAGGCCATGTCATAGTGATCTAGCAATTGCGAGAGGCAAGTTCTGTTCGTGTAGGCCCTGTTCCAATAGGCCCTGTTCCAATAGGCCCTGTTCTGGACCCGTGTTGTCCTGGGCTATGTAGATGTTGTGATTCCACGTGATTTCTAATCTTCCTTCTTAGTACTCTTTCAAAGATTCTTATGATGTGTGAGGGTCGAGCTATTGGTCTATAATTGTTGGCATTTGCACTACTACTTCCTTTATGGAATGGTGCTATCTTCGCTGTTTTAAGTGTGTCAGGGATGACGCCAGGATCTAGTCTCCGTCTCCAAAAGATGTTTAGGGCCTGTGATAGCGGCGTTTTGGACTTATTGTTAAATATAGAATTCCAGGAGTCTGGGCCTGGTGCAGAGTGCATGGGGATGTTCTCTATGGCTACTTCCACATCAAAGTCCAGTTGGGTTAGGGTGACATCTTAAATGGGGGGTTCGATGTTGGTGTCACATTCATGAAGTATTCATTTGATTCGTCGAGCATCAGTGTGGTCACGGGTTTGCTGAAGACGGAATTGTTCTGAAGCCTGGCCGCCGTGGCCGCCCACCCTGGCCGCCCGCCCGTCCTGGCCGCCCGCCCGTCCTGGCCGTCCGTCCTGGCCGTCCGTCCTGGCCGCCCGGCCGCCCGCCCGCCCTGGCCGCCCGCCCCGGCCGCCCCACAACTGCTGGAGAGTAATTGTCGGCCGTGTGGTGAATGTTGAGGCCTGGGATCCTCACTAACGAGGCCGGGGCCCCTCACTAACGAGGCCGGGGCCCCTCGAGGCGGTTCCTTGCTTGTGGGGCTGATCATCCAGGCTGTTATACACGCCGCTGCTCGCTGTCTCACTTCTCAATCACAACCTACTTCATGGGTTATCTTTTGAAGGGTTTTCAACTTTTCAGGCGCGTTTGTGATTCGATGAAATATCTGAGGCCAAGCTTCCCACCAAGTGCTGTCGGGACGTTGGGGGTATAGCCGCGGCGACCAATGACTCTTGTACAGTCACGGTGGTCGAGTGGTTAAGGAACCAGGGGCCAGATTCACGAAAGAACTTACGCAAACACTTACGAACGTGTACATCTTTCCTCAATCTTTGATGGCTTTGGTTACATTTATTAAACAGTTTACAAGCATGAAAACTTGCCAATCAACTGTTGTTATTGTTATAAACAGCCTCCTGGTGCTTCCGAGCTCATTAACTGTTTAATAATTGTAAACAAAGCCGCCAAAGATTGAGAAAAGATGGACAGGTTCGTAAGTGCTTGCGTAAGTGCTTTCGTGAATCTGGCCCCAGGTACGCCATGGTGCATAGTGCTCCTGGCTGTCTGGGTTCGAATCCTTATGGGATGTGGAGTTTTCAGTTTATATATATATATATATATATATATATATATATATATATATATATATATATATATATATATATATATATATATATATATATATATAATTAGTATATTTTGGTAGCAGTCTTTCCTGTAGACATATATTATTAAATATGACCGAAAAAGTAAGATTAATAATTCTAACACGAATTTTCTCAATCTTTCGTACATTTCTTTTCACTGTTGGAGGTAATTCAAAAATCAATTCTCCAAAATTCATTTTTATTTCTAGTCTGACGCGACACTTACGCGTTTCGTAAAACTTATTACATTTTCAGAGACTTTACACATACACAACTGAATAGAACTTACATATCTCCGATTTGTTTATATCTACATTTGAGTGAGGTGGATGGGGTGAGGTGGTATTTAATAGGGTATTAATTTCATCAACACAAGACAGAACACGAAACAATGGGTATTGAAATGGAAGTGATTGTAGAAAGCCTATTGGTCCATATTTCTTGATGCTTCTATATTGGAGCGGAGTCTTGAGGTGGGTAGAATATAGTTGTGCATTAATTGGCTGTTGATTGCTGGTGTTGACTTCTTAATGTGTAGTGCCTCGCAAACGTCAAGCCGCCTGCTATCGCTGTATCTATCGATGATTTCTGTGTTGTTTACTAGGATTTCTCTGGCGATGGTTTGGTTGTGAGAAGAGATCATCTTCCCACAACTTCATAAAAAATACAGAGTCGCTGATTGCTGGCGGCAGTGAGGACTGGTGTAGTCACAGTCTGGTTAAACTTGTGCTTGGGTAACTGCTTCGTGAATCTGGCCCCCAGGTTCGCAAGTGCCTGCGTAACTGCTTCGTGAATCTGGCCCCCAGGTTCGTAAGTGCTTGCGTAACTGCTTCGTGAATCTGGCCCCAGGTTCGCAAGTGCCTGCGTAACTGCTTCGTGAATCTGGCCCCAGGTTCGCAAGTGCTCGCGTAACTGCTTCGTGAATCTGGCCCCAGGTTCGCAAGTGCCTGCGTAACTGCTTCGTGAATCTGGCCCCCAGGTTCGCAAGTGCTCGCGTAACGGCTTCGTGAATCTGGCCCCCAGGTTCGCAAGTGCTCGCGTAACTGCTTCGTGAATCTGGCCCCCAGGTTCGCAAGTGCTCGCGTAACGGCTTCGTGAATCTGGCCCCCAGGTTCGCAAGTGCCTGCGTTACTGCTTCGTGAATCTAGCCCCAGGTTCGCAAGTGCTCGCGTAACTGCTTCGTGAATCTGGCCCCCAGGTTCGCAAGTGCTTGCGTTACTGCTTCGTGAATCTAGCCCCAGGTTCGCAAGTGCCTGCGTAACTGCTTCGTGAATCTGGCCCCAGGTACGCAAGTGCTCGCGTAACTGCTTCGTGAATCTGGCCCCAGGTTCGCAAGTGCTCGCGTAACTGCTTCGTGAATCTGGCCCCCAGGTTCGCAAGTGCTCGCGTAACTGCTTCGTGAATCTGGCCCCCAGGTTCGCAAGTGCCTGCGTAACTGCTTCGTGAATCTGGCCCCCAGGTTCGCAAGTGCTCGCGTAACTGCTTCGTGAATCTGGCCCCCAGGTTCGCAAATGCTCGCGTAACTGCTTCGTGAATCTGGCCCCAGGTTCGTAAGTGCTCGCGTAACTGCTTCGTGAATCTGGCCCCAGGTTCGCAAGTGCTCGCGTAACTGCTTCGTGAATCTGGCCCCAGGTTCGCAAGTGCTCGCGTAACTGCTTCGTGAATCTGGCCCCCAGGTTCGCAAGTGCTCGCGTAACTGCTTCGTGAATCTGGCCCCCAGGTTCGCAAGTGCTCGCGTAACTGCTTCGTGAATCTGGCCCCCAGGTTCGCAAGTGCCTGCGTAACTGCTTCGTGAATCTGGCCCCCAGGTTCGCAAGTGCTCGCGTAACTGCTTCGTGAATCTGGCCCCCAGGTTCGCAAGTGCTCGCGTAACTGCTTCGTGAATCTGGCCCCAGGTTCGTAAGTGCTCGCGTAACTGCTTCGTGAATCTGGCCCCAGGTTCGCAAGTGCTCGCGTAACTGCTTCGTGAATCTGGCCCCAGGTTCGCAAGTGCTCGCGTAACTGCTTCGTGAATCTGGCCCCCAGGTTCGCAAGTGCTCGCGTAACTGCTTCGTGAATCTGGCCCCCAGGTTCGCAAGTGCTCGCGTAACTGCTTCGTGAATCTGGCCCCAGGTTCGCAAGTGCTCGCGTAACGGCTTCGTGAATCTAACCCCAGGAGTATTTCTCTTGGTTAAACTAGAGATTTGACAAAGAGAAAAAAGAACTTAATGTTATTTGATGATAATTCCTTAGGTGTATGTATTGGGGGGTTGGTGGGGGGGTCTTGGGGGGGGGGGGGTTGGACATAGGAGGGGAAGAAGGAGGGGCTAGTAACCCCTTTTTATGAGGTTATGAGGTATGAGGTATATGAGGCCTAGCTGCAACACAGTAATATCGATTATCGATCTATTTAGGCGGGCGCTTACCCCCTCCTGACCTAAACCATCACTAACCCCATGACCTTTGACCCCCTTTTGCAGGCCTGTAACGAGTTTACCACCCACGTGATGAATCTGTTGAGGGAGCAGTCCCGCACCCGACCCATCACGCCCAAGGAGATAGAGAGGATGGTGCAGATTATACACAAGAAGTTCTCGTCTATACAGATGCAGCTCAAGCAATCCACCTGTGAAGCTGTGATGATTCTGCGTTCCAGGTTCCTGGATGCCAGGTGGGTTCCCCTTATCTTCCCCCTTATCGTGATACATGAGGAGAGGGCCCCATAACCTTGTCTTCCCCCTTATCGTGATACATGAGGAGAGGGCCCCATAACCTTGTCTTCCCCCTTATCGTAATACATGAGGAGAGGGCCCCATAACCTTGTCTTCCCCCTTATTGTAATACATGAGGAGAGGGCCCCATAACCTTGTCTTCCCCCTTATCGTGATACATGAGGAGAGGGCCCCATAACCTTGTCTTCCCCCTTATTGTAATACATGAGGAGAGGGCCCCATAACCAAGTCCCTCCTTATCGTGTTATCTAGAGACGCCCCCCTAGCTATAATTTCTAGGGGCGGCGCCCCCAGGTTATCATGTCTTCTACTACACTACTATACCTTAGGGTTGGCAGGTGTAGGGTGCTATATGTCTAGTCAGTATAGTCTTACATAAGAGACATTAATAACACACACAGGGCCACATATATGGCTACACGCAGGGCTACACACAGGGCCACACACAGGGCCACATATATGGCCACACACAGGGCCACATATATGGCCACACACAGGGCCACACACAGGACTACACACAGGACTACACACAGGGCCACACACAGGGAAACACACAGGGCCACACACAGGGCCACACACAGGGCCACACACAGGGCCACACACATGGCCACACAGGGCCACACATGGCCACACAGGGCCACACACAGGGCCACACACATGGCCACACACATGACCACACAGGGCCACACACAGGGCCACACACAGGGCCACACACATGGCCACACACATGACCACACACATGGCCACACAGGGCCACACACAGGGCCACACAGGGCCACACAGGACCACACACATGACCACACACACGGGGCCACACACAGGGCCACACACAGGGCCACACACATGACCACACATATGGCCACACAGGGCCACACACAGGGCCACACACAGGGCCACACAGGGCCACACACATGACCACACACACAGGGCCACACACAGGGCCACACACATGGCCACACACAGGGCCACACACATGGCCACACACATGGCCACACACAGGACCACACACAGGACCACACACAGGGCCACACAGGGCCACACACATGGCCACACACAGGGCCACACACATGGCCACACACAGGGCCACACACATGGCCACACACACGGCCACACACATGGCCACACACATGACCACACACAGGGCCACACACACAGGGCCACACACATGGCCACACACAGGGCCACACACATGACCACACACACAGGGCCATACACATGGCCACACAGGGCCATACACATGGCCACACATGACCACACACAGGGCCACACACATGACCACACACAGGGCCACACACATGACCACACACAGGGCCACACACATGACCACACACAGGGCCACACACATGACCACACATGGCCACACAGGGCCACACACATGACCACACATATGGCCACACAGGGCCACACATGGCCACACATATGGCCACACATATGGCCACACAGGGCCACACACATGACCACACATGGCCACACAGGGCCACACACATGACCACACACATGACCACACATGGCCACACAGGGCCACACATATGGCCACACAGGGCCACACACATGACCACACATGGCCACACACATGACCACACACATGACCACACATGGCCACACAGGGCCACACATATGGCCACACAGGGCCACACATATGGCCACACAGGGCCACACATATGGCCACACATGACCACACATATGGCCACACACAGGGCCACACACATGACCACACACAGGGCCACACACATGACCACACATATGGCCACACACAGGGCCACACATATGGCCACACACATGACCACACACATGACCACACACATGACCACACATATGGCCACACACATGACCACACACATGACCACACATATGGCCACACACATGACCACACACATGACCACACATATGGCCACACACATGACCACACACATGACCACACATATGGCCACACACATGACCACACATATGGCCACACACATGACCACACATATGGCCACACAGGGCCACACACATGGCCACACATATGGCCACACACATGACCACACACATGGCCACACACTGGGCCACACACATGGCCACACACATGACCACACACAGGGCCACACACATGACCACACACAGGGCCACACACATGACCACACACAGGGCCACACACATGACCACACATGGCCACACAGGGCCACACATATGGCCACACATGGCCACACACAGGGCCACACACATGGCCACACACATGACCACACACATGACCACACACAGGGCCACACACATGACCACACACAGGGCCACACACATGACCACACACAGGGCCACACACATGACCACACACAGGGCCACACACATGACCACACACAGGGCCACACACATGACCACACACAGGGCCACACACATGACCACACACAGGGCCACACACATGACCACACACAGGGCCACACACATGACCACACACAGGGCCACACACATGACCACACACAGGGCCACACACATGACCACACATGGCCACACACAGGGCCACACATATGGCCACACAGGGCCACACATATGGCCACACACAGGGCCACACAGGGCCACACATGGCCACACACATAAAGGTTTCTGATGTATAAATTAATCTTTCCTCTCAACAACGGTAAATATTGTCTTAGTTACATGAAGTTGTCAGTGAATATACACACCTGACGTTACACACCTGACGTTACACACCTGACGTTACACACCTGACGTTACACACCTGACGTTACACACCTGACGTTACACACCTGGCGTTACACACCTGACGTTACACACCTGACGTTACACACCTGGCATTACACACCTGACGTTACACACCTGACGTTACACACCTGACGTTACACACCTGGCGTTACACACCTGGCGTTACACACCTGACGTTACACACCTGGCATTACACACCTGACGTTACACACCTGACGTTACACACCTGGCATTACACACCTGACGTTACACACCTGACGTTACACACCTGGCGTTACACACCTGACGTTACACACCTCGCATTACACACCTGACGTTACACACCTGGCATTACACACCTGACGTTACACACCTGACGTTACACACCTGGCGTTACACACCTGACGTTACACACCTCGCATTACACACCTGACGTTACACACCTCGCATTACACACCTGACGTTACACACCTGGCATTACACACCTTACGTTACACACCTGACGTTACACACCTGGCATTACACACCTGACGTTACACACCTGACATTACACACCTGACGTTACACACCTGACTTTACACACCTGACGTTACACACCTGGCATTACACACCTGACGTTACACACCTGACATTACACACCTGACGTTACACACCTGACTTTACACACCTGACGTTACACATCTGGCATTACACACCTGACGTTACACACCTGGCATTACACACCTGACGTTACACACCTGACGTTACACACCTGACATTACACACCTGGCGTCATACAGGTGTGTCACAGGTCATGTTTGGAGACACCCCACGCACCTCACTAAAGGCCTGATGGCTGAGTGGACAGCGCTCGGGATTCCTAGTCCTAGGGTCCGGGGATCGATCCCCGGTATAAACACATGGGCAGAGTTTCTTTCACCCTGATGCCCCCTGTTGACCTAGCAGTAAATAGGTACCTGGGAGTTAGACAGCTGCTTCCTGAGATTTTTTTTATATGTGTGGGGGTAAAAAACCAGTTAATTGACAGTTGAGAGGCGTGCCCAAAGAGCCAGAGCTCAACCCCCGCAAGCACAACTAGGTGAGTACACACGGGCGGTGCTTGGCCCTCTAGTACGTCGTATTTTTGACGTTTTAAGATCCCCCTAAAGGTGTATTCAAGGTACTAATTAGCGGCTCATAGAATTGACGTGATGTTCCGTTTTCTACAAGTGGGTTCCCGGTTAGGTTAGGTTCGGGTACTTCGGTACATCAGTTTTATGACGTTGTGAACGTTCAAAGGGGGGGGGGGTGCACTCTAGGGGGTATGGTAAGGGGCACTCTGGGGGTGTGGTGGGGTGCACTCTGAGGGTGTGGTGGGGTGCACTCTGGGGGTGTGGTGGGGTGCACTCTGGGGGTGTGGTGGGGTGCACTCTGGGGGTGTGGTGGGGTGCACTCTGGGGGTGTGGTGGGGTGCACTCTGAATGTGGTGGGGTGCACTCTGGGGGTGTGGTGGGGTGCACTCTGGGGGGTGTGGTGGGGTGCACTCTGGGGGTGTGGTGGGGTGCACTCTGGGGGTGTGGTGGGGTGCACTCTGGGGGTGTGGTGGGGTGCACTCTGGGGGGTGTGGTGGGGTGCACTCTGGGGGTGTGGTGGGGTGCACTCTGAATGTGGTGGGGTGCACTCTGGGGGTGTGGTGGTGTGCACTCTGGGGGTGTGGTGGTGTGCACTCTGGGGGTGTGGTGGGGTGCACTCTGGGGGTGTGGTGGGGTGCACTCTGGGGGTGTGGTGGGGTGCACTCTGGGGGTGTGGTGGGGTGCACTCTGGGGGTGTGGTGGGGTGCACTCTGGGGGGTGTGGTGGTGTGCACTCTGGGGGTGTGGTGGGGTGCACTCTGGGGGTGTGGTGGGGTGCACTCTGGGGGTGTGGTGGGGTGCACTCTGGGGGTGTGGTGGGGTGCACTCTGGGGGTGTGGTGGGGTGCACTCTGGGGGTGTGGTGGGGTGCACTCTGGGGGTGTGGTGGGGTGCACTCTGGGGGGTGTGGTGGTGTGCACTCTGGGGGTGTGGTGGGGTGCACTCTGGGGGTGTGGTGGGGTGCACTCTGGGGGTGTGGTGGGGTGCACTCTGGGGGTGTGGTGAGGGTGCACTCTGGGGGTGTGGTGGGGTGCACTCTGGGGGTGTGGTGGGGTGCACTCTGGGGGTGTGGTGGGGTGCACTCTGGGGGTGTGGTGGGGTGCACTCTGGGGTGTGGTGGGGTGCACTCTGGGGGTGTGGTGGGGTGCACTCT